AAATTCCATGTATAATAATACTAGCATTAAGGACATATGAAGAGCATGTTTGGCCAAGTTGCCAAAAACTGCTTATTTTGAAAAGTACTTTTTTCGAGAAGTGCTTTTTCCAAAAGTACTTTTGAAAAAAATAGTTTGTGTTTGGCCAATGCATTTAAGAAGTGTTTTTTGCAACATTAGGTAAGCAGATTGTGTTTGACCAATCTTTCTAAAAAGTGCTTTTAAATGTCAAATTATTAAAAAGGATAGTACCAAGGTCTTATAATTATTTTAAAGAGAAACATAAACTTAAATATTTATCATAAGAGACTTTTATTATTTTTTATTTTACTTAATTAAAATATAAAACATAAAGTAAACGTACATATTAAAGATTTAAATCATTATAACATATATAGTTATACCAAAGCATATAATATTATCTAGTATAATTACTTATTGTCATCATTCAGTATGAATTAGAAGTCTATTCCACAAATTACTATATATTGATAATCTACCATGAAATAATAAGCAAAGTCACTCACACATGATAATATTTCTCAACAATTTCATCCTTAATTCTATCACACAACGCCTCTATATTAGTAGAAGACTTGCCTTGCATTACTAAAAGAATACCAGAAGGCCCATCTCCTTCCTCAATCTCTACAGTAATGTCTTCATTAGCATAATTGTTGAATTCCTTATCGGTAGAAGAATGTCGTCGGATGAAATTATGTATAGCCATGTGTCACGACCCGAAATTCCCACCTTCGGGACCGTGATAGCGCCTAATATTTCACTTGCTAGGCAAGCCAACGTCAGAATAATATTAGCCATTTTAAAATAATTTTAAGTTAATTAATATCAAAGAAATAAATTGAAATAGAGTGAATAATCCATAATAATAGCGATGTCTAAATACCATCCCAGAACTGGTGTCACAAGTGAACGAGCTTCTAGAATAATACAAACAAGGGTCTGAATAAAAATAAAGTTGTCTGAAAGAAAGCACACAGCTAAAAATAAGGTAGAATGGGACTTCATAACTGCGAACGCCATACAGTTATACCTCAAGTCTCCTGCGAAGAGCTGAATCCCAGCAAATCTACTATACGCCGCTAGGACCAACTCTGGTATTTGCACAAGAAGTGCAGAGTGTAGTATGAGTACAACAGACCCCATGTACCCAGGAAGTGTCGAGCCTAACCTCGACGAAGTAGTGATGAGGCTAAGGCAGGTCACTTACATTAGCCGGTACGCAATAATAATAATAACAATAATAATAGAAATAAAATAGGTAACTCATTTCAACCATTGAAGCCAACTCGGTAGTCATAACCAATTATTATTTCAATCAATTTTCGTTGCGGCATGCAACCCGATCCCACAATATATTCATTTTCATTTAATCTCGTGGCGACGTGCAACCCGATCCTCAATATATCTTTTCATTCACTTCTATTGCGGCGTGAAACCCGCTCCTTCAATATATTCATTTCAACCAATTATGTTGTGGCGTGCAACCCGCTCCTCCAATATATTCACTTTTATTTCTGTTGCGACGTGCAACACGCTCCTCAATTAATATAATTTACCAATTCTTATAAAATAAATTACTCCAATAAATACAATAATTAATATGAAATTATAAGACAACAAGCATACAATAATTATGATTTAATTAGAAATAAGTGATGACAAGTAGCAATTAATTATGAAAATTAAGGAGAAAATAGGCAATTTAATAATTAGTATGCTAAATGTCAAGTAACAATTAAGTCACATAAGTCAATTAAGCATGTAGCAAGTATAGCACGGATTCAAGGCATAATATTGAGCAAGGAATGTGAGAGAAACAATAATATAATAATTAATTCATGATTTAAAATAATTTATGATTTTCAAATAATTATGCAAATAATTAATTTGATGACGTATAGGCACTCGCCACCTCGCCTATGCGTCATTCACATAAATTTCACATAACAAATAATTTAAGGGTTCTATTCCCTCAAGTCAAGGTTAACCACGACACTTACCTCGCTTCGCAACCAATTTCAAGATTCCAATAAACCTTTGCCTCGCGAATTCGTGTCCGAAAACTTCAAACTTAGTCACAAACAATTCAATATACTCAACACGAATCGTAGGAATTAATTCCATATGAATTTACTAATTTTTCGGATTAAAATACGAAATTCATTTTAAAAATTGACAGTGGGACCCACGTCTCGAATCCCGAAAAAACTCACAAAATCTGAACACCCGTTCCGATCGTAGGAATTAATTCCATATAAATTTACTAATTTTTCGGATTAAAATTCGAAATTCAAATTTAAAAATTGACAGTGGGACCCACCTCTCGAATCCCGAGAAAACTCACGAAATCTGAACACTCGTTTCGATACGAGTTCATCCATACAAAAATTATCGAATTCCGACATCGGATTGACCTTCAAATCTTCATTTTACATTTTTGAAAGATTTTATAAAAATCTGATTTTTCTTTCATAAATTCACGGATTCATGATGTAAATGAGTATGGAATCATGAAATATAATTAATATAGGATAAGGAATACTTACCCCAATGTTTTTCCATGAAAATCGCCCAAAAATCGCCTAAATCTGAGACTCAAAACTCAAAAATGAGTAAAAATGGCAAAACTCCCCGTTTTATGGGGGTTTTATGTCCGTGGTGCCACAGGTGGCATGGGGCACTGCCTGTGGCGCCGTTTCCAGAACTTCAGAAATCCCAACGCCAGGGATAGCGCCCCACGCTACCCTGAACGCTGACGACGACAGGAAATATTTTTTGACACGGAAATGGACATAACTCTCTCACACGATGTCCGAATTCAACGATTCTTTTTGTTATGGCTCCAAAATTTCAATACGGATATAATGCTTCAATCAAAACTGAATTTGGAGCTCATTTGCTTAATGTGATACCACTTATTCTTGAATAAACGGCGTCGAAACATTCTAGAATATCCAAATTAAACTCCGTTAACCATCCGAAATTCACCTTAGGCCCTCGGGACCTCAACCAAATATTCCAACAAGTCCCATAACATAATACGGACTTACTCAGGGTCTCAAATCACGTCAAATAACGTCGAAATTACAATTCACTTCTCGATTCATACTTATGAGTTTCAAACTTTTCACATTACAAAACTCGTGCTGAAATGTATTAAATGAATCTGGAATGATTTCAAATTTGGAGCACAAGTCATAAATGACATAATGGAGCTATTCTAACTCTTAAAATCTCAATCCGAGTCCGATATCGATAAAGTCAAATTTGCGGTCAAACTTTGAAAATCTTTAGCCTTTAGATTTCTAGTTTCCGTTAAAAGGCGATAATTTGAGCTAGGGACTTCCGAATCTAATTTCGGGCATACGCCCAAGTCCCAAATCACTATACGGACCTATCGGAACTGTCAAAACACTGTTCTGAGTCCATTTGCTCAAAATGTTGACCAAAGTCAACTCAGTTGAGTTTTAAAGTTGTATTTCACATTTTAATCCATTTTTCACATAAAAGCTTTCCGAAACAATTTATGGATTGCGCACACAAGTCGAAGAAAGCTGAATGGTGCTATTCAAGGTCTCATATCACAGAAATGAATATTAAATTTAAAGATGACATTTTTGGTCATCACACCATGGTAGTTGTAACAAGATGATTCGGAGTGTCAAACTTGAAAGATGGCATTGAGTGTAAAATAGAAATAATTTTAAATATATAAAGAATTATTATTTTCGTAAAAAAAAATAGTTAAGTATGTTTAAATTCAAATTCAAAAATAATAACTAATTATTAACAACACATAATGCATAATTTAATTTTTAAAAATTTAAATTAAAAAAGAAACTAATTATTACCGAACCTAACTAACTTTCTCCTAAATTGCCAAGTGACCTATTGTGAGACTGTCATTTGGCTTAATGTGGAGGCTTTTTCTTTTTCTTTTTTAAAAGTATATAAATTATGTTATGCAATTGTAAATTTATTACCTATTATTCAATAATTGTTTTAAAGATTCGAGAATTAATAGCGTATAACATAAGAAATTATAAACGAGTATTTGTAAGAAGAGATTTGATAATACAAAGAAAGATATAGATAATTTGCTTTAGTGTGAAAAAAGAAGAAGATAATTTGGAAAGTTACAAGACATTACACAAAGAAAAAATCAAAAACAAGAAAAGTCAAAAAAGAATTTGGAAAGTTTTCAAAAGAATGATAGAAACTAGAAACAATAAGGAAAAGAAAAGGCTTAAATTAGTAAAGGATAATTTAAAAAATATAAATTTATGATGAGGATAGTTTTGTCTTGAATAAATTAATTTTCTGTTTCTACTTTTTGGAAGAAGGTAGAATTTTCTGCTTCTTCCCAAAAGCAAAAAAATTGCTTCTGATGCGGCCAGAAGTATCTTACCGTATTGGCCAAATAGCTTAAATTTATTAAAAAGTACCAAATAGCTTAAATTTATTAAAAAATACTTTTGACCTCCCAGAAGCTTGGCCAAACAGGCTCTAAGTACCCGGATTATCATACAAATAGCTGGCCTAATTCAAATTTACTTTTTCAAGTATGAACAGAATAGGTGAACACGCACGTGCTCCTTTACATCTTTTACGCTTTGATTATGAACAAGTCATTTCTAGTGCAAGGCTAATTGCTTCAACAAGATCAACTGCAGATTCACCAACATCACTTTACCAAGTTCTTGGCTTTCAGCTTTTCCTTCCAGCAGTTATGAAAAGATATGGAATATAACAAGCAAAGCCAGATCCAAAATTTAAAGCTTATGGGTTCCTCCAACGATCTCAAGTTAATAACTAGATTCACAGTCAAATATTTATAGATCGTTCATGAATTTTTTAATACATGTACAAGAATCTGGGCAAAAACTACTGGGTTCCTGGAACCCCCATCTTAGCCTCTAGATCCGCCACTGAGAACAAGCATTGTCAATTAGACTTTGGAGAAAAACACCAGTGAGTTGAAGTAAAACTAATACTCTTATTAGGGGAAATAGCCATCTATATATATTCCCAGAATCAGAAATCAACAGATAAAGAACTACCAGGTTGGTGGCGGCGATTTTACAATAACTTACCGCTCTACCTTAGCGTAGCTTAATACTAAAAAAGAAATGTCATAAACCAAAAGTGTTATTTACATGCAAGTTCTTCAGCACTAAGACTCAGGCTGCTCAGTTTTCACATGTGCAACCGGTGATCTGCAGTTTCCATTTTGAAGGTAAAGGCTGTTAGCAACTATAGAGTCGCTAACCAAGCCCGCATCAACATCAAAATTGAGAGCGCCTCTAAGCTTCCGATTGCTGTAGATTAATGAAGGTTTTTCAGGTTTGAGTTAAAGAGTACTTGACATGAAAGATTTAGATGATGGAATTTGCAGATAGGTAAAAACCACATACCCATTCAAGCGGTTATTGATTACATCCAGATCTTTCGAAGGGCTCTGATAAGCATGAGTGCTTTCTCCCACACAAGCATAATAGCTTTTAGAGCTATGGGAAATTAAGGCATCCATCTGAAAGCAGAAACAAGAGATAAATGCGAGAAATAAGAGCTCATTAAAACTTGGAAGAAAGAAAAAGTGTTATTTATTCAAGCTCCTACCACTATATTATAAAATCAAACAAGCTCAGACTTTAAAGGGAAATTCTAAAATCCCAATAACTGTTACTCCTAATATTCCTTTGGGCTAGTGATTACTACAACTAACAATAGACAAGTAGCTTTCTACCATCACAGGGACAAGCAATAACTATAAAATTTAGCAGGCCAACAGGAAACTTCATCGACTTGGCACAAAACTCTCCTCTCCCTCCTGAATAAGCATCTTCTTTTCCACAATTTTTTTTTTAATTTCAAGTTCAAGATTCGTACTGAAGCAGGAGTCCTTTCTGTATTACCTAATATAATACTTGACCGTCATTCCTAATTAAGAACATGCCAGCAATAGTTAGTTAGGCATAATTCAGAACCTACATTTTAGTATATAAGTTCGTCCTCTTCAACTATACAGGTATATTTCATCTATTTCTCAGCTCCAAAACACTTCAGGTATGTCGAATTTAAAGCATTGGAAAAATCATTGAGAATTAAATCACTACCTTAGATGCTCGAAGTGGAGAGACGTAAACATTATGTACTGCAGATACTTTCTTCGGAGACATGTCGGGGAGCTTCGGAAATGGAGATGGTTTGGGGGATGCCGGACCTTGACCTGAATGGAAATGAAGAAACAAAAAAGAGCCACAGATTTAACATTGGTACATGAGCGAGGAATCAGACATAGCAACCAAACCAAGAGAAAAAATATCACCTAACAAAGGCATAATGAAGAGAACTTACCATCATTGTGGTTGTTCTTTTCTGCATTTCCAGCAGGTGCAAGCTCAACTAGTAATGGCTTCACAGAAGGAATAAACATTTCATTGTAGAATGTGATGATATCGACATGATCTGCACCTGTTCTCTGTTTTAAAACCAATTAATTTGATCAGTGATTCCACAAACAATAAGAGACTAACGTCAACAATCTAAAGACTGATCACATAACACATTATGGCGTGCTAATGTCCAGTCAACAAAAACACTTCTAAAGACTTGTGGTTTGCACTGAGGTTGCTTTCGGTAGTTGCATATAATTTCTTTGAAGGTCAAGTTAAGTTGTGAAATCTGCATGTAGTCAAGAAACAAGATATGAAAATAGAGAATAACAGACTAACAGCTCCAATATCCCCCTCTTTTCTGAAAAACTACCTTGGCAACTCCGTAGAAAGAGCAAAGGATGATCTGATCAATATGTCGGTTGAAGAAAAGACTTGTCCTCTGACTGAGAATCTTCTGAAAAAGGCAATATACAGTCTCCCTTATTTGTTGAGAAAGTTGTAGCCGTTCAATCATGCCATTGATTCTGACAGCAGCCAACTTTACAATCTAGGTGGAACATGACGTAAAAAAAAATTAGGTTAAGTAAGCACCCTAAATAAAAGGAAATCAAATCTCCTAATCGAGAAAAAAAGCATATAGCATATAAAAAGAATGTCTACCTTGCCAAAGAACACATTTATTGCTGTCTCAGCACACGTTTCNAAAGTCTATAGCATATAAAAAGAATGTCTACCTTGCCAAAGAATACATTTATTGCTGTCTCAGCACACGTTTCCCCTCCACCACCAGGGTTTGGTCTAGTTGGGCTGTAAAAGTTCAAAGATCAACCCTTTAAAGCGAATACAAATCCCTGAATTGAACAGTAAATAAAACTAAAGAATCCAACTATAAATCAAAATACCTTGCGAATGCAGACTGCAAAGCTGGAGGGGGAAACTTTGATTTTATATTATTGAGAGCCAGAAATCGATCCTTCACAGGTGATGTGAAGGAATTTCGCTCAACCAAAACACTGCGATATTCGGAACACACTTTCTTTGGCGACCGGATATCACCGATTTGACCTAACAAGATTAATTTGAGAGAAAGTTAGGTTACTTTTTATCCAAATAGCCTGAAAAGGCATAATTCAGAATTAAAAAGTCATTTCATTTAATGAAGCTTCGAGATTAGGGGCAAATACAATACCGTTAGGGGCCAAGTTGTTCTTGTGTAGAGACGGCAGTGGCGGTAAGCTTCCTGACGAAAGGTTAATGTGCATTGCAATTGCATCCAAGGATGGCATTGGTTCAGCCAACAAGCCCGTGCGATTGATTTCTGCAGCAAGTGATGGTTTTGCGACAGCCAAAGAGTTGTACATTGAAGATCCTTTTTCCCAAACCATGCTCTCCAAGAGTCGTTCTTCAAGTGAATTCAAATGCCGTCTCAGTTCTCGAGGAAGACTTTCTTCATGCCTGATGAAGCTCTCTATCACCTTACTGAGATCGAAAGCTGTGATTCCTGTTCTCTCTAAGACAGCAGGAAACAGCATAGTAACTGTTTTGTGAGTGGCAAGAACCAGTTCAGCTGAACAGGCAAGCATACATCTATGAAACCTCTCATTCGTTAGCAACGAAGTTAAATTGTTCCCATTCAAAATCTGGGATTCTGCAGTGCACATAGTCTGCAGAACCCTATAATACAGCTTCAAAGCCTCGGATCTACGTTGCTCTGCCCATATGTTGTCCATTAAGCTCGTACTTTGCAGGCTCCCACCAGCTGCACAATGTTCCGCAGGACCACTACTTGGAAATATAGCCTCGAGAATAATCTGAGCTCTCCGGATCACGTCAGCTGTTACATCTCTGTCACAGGAGGACAAGAATCTCTCCAGCTCTGCTGAAGGTTTTGGCTGTAGCGGAGCTATGACAGTACGCAACCACCTGGCAGTTGTCATCGCTGTGCTTACAGGTGTAGCTACCGTCATCTTTGAGTTAGCACAATTTGGAGAACGGTAAGGAGAGAGTGTACTTGTAACCGTTTTTGCTGGGGAAGCCATTGCATCAAATTTCCTCTACACAAACAGAAGACAAACAAAAATGGTTTCAAAGAGTGCTTACTGCATTATGGCCTCAATAAATCAGGAAGATATCCAACAAACCTTGACTCCATTCATGTTGACAACACCTCCAGACAAGCTTCCGGAACCCAGCAAGCTATCCTCCTCATTGACAAAAATCCTCTCATCCAATTCACCCTTGTTCTGTATTGCATCACTGTAATCCTTCTCCAGTATACTTACACTGGAAGGTAAACATGATTCTTCCATTAAATCTTCAAAATAGGTTAAACCATCTGCAATAAAAATTCTAACTTTCAGTAAAAGCACCGACTCGGAGAAAAAGCGAGACATCACTGATTTTGAGACAAACCTGTGTCAAGGTTGTCCAGGTTCTCCGTCCTAAATTCTGAGGCCAAACAAGGTTTCTTCTTCAACTTTTCTGTTATTAGATAGTTAACTTTATCCATGGTCTCCCTTAAGTCATCTATTGAGGTCTGATAAATTTTGCCTAATGATGCAAGCAAGTCCACTTTGTCTCCTTTCTTAACTGTAACAAAATCAGCATTAGTATAAGGTCACAACAGGATCATGGAACAAAAGTTGAAGAGGTATTGGACCAAAACCCTACTCTTTTAATGCTTAATATACATAGATAATTACCAAACCGTGAGGAGTCATTGATGTTGAAATTTCTGAAGCGGACAGGTACATGTATTATTAAGATTGCCTGCACAAGGTTTTATGAAGCCAGTAGTCAGACACATCAAATATCTCATAAGAGCAACATGGTACTATCCAATCCATAAAATTGCAAGACTGTTATGCCAGTGATGTCAAAGACAAAAAGAGTAGAAATGTGCCAAGGTCAGCTGGTTTAAATGCAAAGTTGTAGCTAAAGCAACCTATTGGCCTCATATAATTTATCAATTTCCAAGAAAAAATGCTGTCTCCAATGAGATCCACCTCAGCACGTTGGCGTCTGTATTAAACAACACCTAAGTAATACGAAGCACCTAACCTAACATGCACCTTTTTTGAGGGCTTCAACACAACTTTAGCAACATTGCGCACAAGTTATACTGTCTATAATGCATGCGCAGTACAACATGAACATATAAACAAAAGAAATCAGACAATCCAAACATTCAACTAAATTGTTGAGAAACTTACCAGCACCGAAACTAAACCATTTGTGCATGTCACAAGGTCCTTGAAGCGGCTGAATACATGGATGCGAAGTGAAAGAAATAGCAACCAGCCAAAACGATAATATTGCGGCAAGTGGATAGCAGAACTAGAAGTAGCAGAGGGCTTATCTTCGTTGTTACCACTAGCCAGAAACAGTTCTTGGTACGCTCGCTTGTAGTACCTAAAAACATAAGGAAATGGGAGGTCAGGTTGGTTCAGATAGCTGGCTCATTCATACTCTTATCTAAGTCATCTGGGCACGTTCTGTATTATAGAGAAGACGCTAAGATAGGAAAATACTATCATGCCCTCAAGAAATACAAGCTAAGCACCAGGAGAAACCAGACAGGATACTTGACCTACTGCATCAAATATGACGTTCAAAAGATTTCTTATATCAAACTAGATTAAGATTACGAAGTTGTTCAGCAGAAATGCTTAATCTACCAACATTTATGATACTGTAAAATACCACAAAGCTTCATAAGTAGAGGAAACTAGTGCATGAAAGAGTACCCACTTGCTTAAAAGGCTCAAATGCACGAAGTTGGTCTGCAATTCCTTTGCCTAGTACAACAATTTAAACAAATAGAAAGCCATCAATAGATGCTTAAAACAACAAACAAAAACATAACATATTGCTAACTACAGATAGATTTCAATTGAGCCAACAGAAACGTAAATAGCTTCAGAACACAAGACTAATCCTCCACAACATCATTACCTCAAGTCTCTTCTCCCAATCTGAACCGTACAGATTGCTTAATGTTGGACCAACTTTTAGAATAAATTGCGGAAGTTCTTTGAAGAAGTCTACAACACTACAACAAACGAAACAAAATTAACAAGAACCTCGGTAAATCAAGACTTCTACATGAAAACAAATAGGATATTGAAAATTAGAAGGAAAAAAAATACCCACTTGAGTTTAGCCCCTCGTAAAATCTGGCACAAAGAAAATGCATTTCCTTCATTCCCATTACTCGAATTTCCCACTTCCTTCTCACTTAATCTCTTTACCGAGTACAGAACAAACACAAACCAATACCGTTCAACACCCTCCTGCTGATCAAGAACTCAGAATCAATTCATAGTATGTATTTTTTATAAAATTCGGGTAATCAAACAAATTTATGATATGCAAAACAAAGAGAGCATATCACGGGAGTTACCGTTATAACTCCAATAGTAGAGTTATTTGACAGTAAAAGATGTTTACTGTCATTAAACAGCTTTGTTGCTTCAGTCACAAAGCTTTCACCCATGGACAATCCATTCTGTAAAATCAAACAATAAATGTTAAAAATAAACAAAAATATTAAACAAAAACCCCGCTTAAAGATTAATTTGAACACACCATATACAAAAAGTTTTTTTTTCATAATTACGGAATACAAGAAAAGGACAAATTGCAAGAATAAATAACCAAAAGAAGGTCTTTTTTTCAAATAAAAATATGGATAAAGGAATATAATTGTAAAACAAAAAGTGGAAAGTATTGGGTGTATGAGGTTTCACTGAAACTTTTATAAGAATTACAAAAGTAAATAAACGAACAATCTTGTAACAACAAAATAACCAAATAATAAAAAAGAACAAATTTTGTTCTTTTAACTGAAACAAGAACAAAATTAGTAAGTAAACAAAAGAATCAATTTTTAACTGAAGCACTTGGAAACTAATGTCAAATTCCAAAATCAAAATCAAAGAAATTGAAATTAAAACAAACAAAATAAACAAGAAAAGCAAAAACAAACAAACAAACCTTGCAGAAATCTGTGAATCGAACTTCAAGAGAATCAACACAACCATTCTCTTCAGAATTAGAACAATTATTCAGCTCCACCATCTTTATCACTAATTGCAAAAACAACCCCAAAATCTGAAAATTTTGCACTAAAGGGAACAATAATGTATCAGATCTGAAGAATTAGATCTGAATTAGTGAATTTCACACAAGCCAAAAAGAACCCTAATTTTCTCCTTGTTCTTATTTTCACTTTCTCTTTCTATCTCTAAAGCTTTCTTTGGTTTTTTGCTTTTTTTTTTTATTTGTTCCGTTCTGCAGCTATAAACCCTAACTTTAGCGCGGGAAAACGTACATAGGTGATGTTAAATGTTAATATCGATACATAGCCGACTAGGTGAGGAAAGCAACGAATCAGAAAGTGACACGCGTTTATCTGTTAGGTTTTACCGCCATTTCCGTGGACTCCCGCGAAAATATACCGTTTGTTGAATTCTACATTGCACGGATTTGCCCGTTACGATTTATTGTATTTACCCGAAACGGTTTTCCTATAACTTTGGTGTTTTTATTTCCCAAAAAAAAGCTTTTTTGATATGATTTGTTTACTTTTCTGTGAAAAGATTCAGCTAATAAATTAGAATGTCCAAATGTGTTTTGTTGCTTCTTTTGTAAAGCTAATAAAGAGCTTGGTACATGTGTTTTCTTATGAGAATTTTTCATAATTTTCATATTCCCTCTGTCACAATTAATGTGATGGTATTCAGATTTCAAGAGTAAAACAAGTTATGCTTTAACCGTAATTTTTTTGTATGCCATTTAAATATTTAGAGGTCTTACTTTTAATTCCATTCTCCATTAAAATATGACATATAAATTGAAACGGGAAGAGTAGTGTTTATATTATTCTATATGACCTAGGCCTGATTTGAACAAATCTAGGCCCATAAATGATCTGAACATTTGACCCAATTCACAAAGGCCCACAAACAGGCGCCTAGTTGCAAGTATAGCACTTTGCTTTCTCTCCTTTTGTTGAGGAAGAAAATTACCTCTAAGAGACCCATGGGAGACTATATTTATGAGAAAATGACATTGTATAGCCACTCTCAATATAATAGCCAAAAAAATATATTTATATATATATATATATATATATATATTCTGTATGTTAAACACAAAAATTATACAAATTCTATACCTTTTTCAGTTAACGAATATAATAGTTTTTGGCGAGGGCTAAAAATGAAATAAGCCATATATTTATGCCACTGGCCCAATCCCAACACTACCTTGGTTGTTGGAAATATTGTTGAGAAAATGACCTTCTATAGCCCCTCAAAATTTTAATAGCCCATATTTTTTCACATTGACACGAAATGTCCCTTCGGCCCAAATATATTATATCTAATAGTCCGAAATGTCTATTTTGTATATATTTTATATAGTGACAGTCTATTTTGTATATATTTTGTATAGTAACAGTCTATTTAGTATTTTTTTTGTACAGTGACAGTCTATTGTATATAAATTATACAATGATAGTCTATTTTATACATTTTGTATATGATGACAGTCTATTTTGTATATATTTTGTATAGTGACAGTCTATTTTATATATTTTTTGTATAGTGACAGCCTATTTTATATATATTTTGTATAGCGACAGTCTATTTAGTATATTTTTTGTATAGTGACAGTCTATTTTGTATATATTTCAACGTTATGCATAATGGATATTCAGTGATATCCAAGTTTTCCTTTTTCATCTCTATATACAAGCGCACACCCAATTTTTATATAGTGACAGTCTATTTTGTATATATTTTGTATAATGACAATCTACTGTATATAAATTATATAGTGACAGTCTATTTTAATATATTTTTTGTATAGTGACAGTCTATTTAGTACATACATTGCATAAAATTTGTATATAGAGTATATCGTGCATCTTACAATGTATCCAAAATGTATTATTAATGTATCACGAGTGCTTTTGTGTATCCAAAGTGTATAGACTGCTCTACAATGTATAAATTTTGTATATATAAAGTGTATCGTGCATTTTACAATGTATCATTAATGTATCTCGAACGCTATTATCCAAAAAAAAACTCAATGGCATATTTAAAACTACAAGTTTTGAATATACTTCTTTCTTTATTAAATTTCGTGTTAAAATAGTTAAATAAAACGCATAGAGTATAAAGTATTTCCTCTTGTTATTCTGGTCTACAATACATAAGGCTTTGAGTCCTTAACCATCAATTCGAAAAAGACAGAAACTTTGTAGGTAGCATCAACGAAAATCAATTAATTACAAGTACTTTGTGTATATAAAGCTCTCATTCAAAGTGAAAAACACATAATATTTATAGCTCTTAAACTTGCTTGTTATTATCTTTAGCGTGGTACCGAAGCAAAAAATCAAACATGATGAGGTTAAGACAAAAATTAATTATGGCCAAGTCACATATTTTCTATGAGGATATATACTTTCAAATAAGAGGAAAAGATATGGAACATGTTATTCGTATAGCTTGGAACAAGAAATAAAAGAACAACCCAAATAAAAGACAAAATAAATAGGATATAGTAGTCCAAAGAAGATGAATTCAAGCTACGTAAATGGGCTCGTGCTATTCTAAATTATGCAAGTGTTAGAAGACCAATTTAGGCTAGCCATTATAATTTGTTTGGAGCTATAAATTGTATGGCTTAATTCATAGCTAGCGAATGATAATTGTTTTCACCGGCCGGCTACAAATGAAATTTGTTCAATATTGTGTCGTTAAAAAGCAAACAAAAACTCTAGTGTATTATGGGAGAAAATAGTGAAATGACTGAACTAGCTTGGTAATTTGAATGTCATGTTGACAATTTTATTTTATTTTTTATATTCGTTGTTGTCAGAAGCAGTGATGGACACTTTTAGCATAGTATGTCATCTACATATCGTTTCGCAAAAAAAGTTTTAAATTGAAAATAATGTAAAGTAACTGTCAATTTAGACATAAAGTAAAGCCTTAAAATTAGCACGGTCTGTCCCATATTTAAACGAATAAATTCACGAATACCTACTTTTTTTTTGGTGAGAGAAAAAAATTGCAGCTGTTACAACCTTTGCCACAGCCTCTGCTCTTTGGGTGAGTACTTTGTGCGCACTGAGTAAATTTATCCGTGTAATAGCGCAAACCACCTACTTTTCAACCCCTATAATTGAACAATAACCACTGACATGGAGTTTAAAATTTTAAATATGAAACTTCAGAATATTATCATAGAATTTCACTCCTAAAATTTAAAACTCCGTGACAATATATTTTTCAATTACAAAATTTAAAAGTGGCTAGCCCGCTCAATTATGAATTACCCATTTATAAACCCAATTGAGGCAATATATATACCAACATCAATTTCTTCTTTTCAGTAATTTCTTCTCTGATAACATCTTCAAATAGATTTGCAAATTTTATGCTTATTTTTCTAATAAATCTTTCTTCGCTCCACTTACGAAAAATCTTTTAAAATGAACATTGTTCACTCTTACGTCACTTCAAATAGGTAGAAGATCCATTCTTGCTACAAAATATTTAGTGATCTCCATTTCAAAAGATGCACAAACATAAACCTTGCATAATATAATCAGATTATATTGAAAATATATGTATTGTTTTCATTTATTGTAAGTGCTATTAGGCTATAATAAATGGAAACAATACATTTTCTGTCGAAAAAACAAAAAGAGAAAAGCTAACGGAGTTGGGGGCTTGTTGAGTGAACGATATATATATGGGACGTTGTATCGTGAATAATATAATTTTAAGCAACAATACTATTTACCCGAAAAACGGATAGAGTTGAATTTGTACGTAGTTCTAAGGATATGTGGTATAACTTGACACAAATCGTAGAGTAAATAAGAATATCGAATATTGATTGTAAGGATGAAAAATAAGCAAAGTTGAAAAGAGGATGATTTATGGATTAAGCAAGATGAATCAATCTTATGAAGCTAAAAAAAGATAATTCTTCAATATGGGAGTATATGATATCTGAGTTACAATGTATGGTAAAACTTGCCCCTTTACATAAATATAGCCATCTTTTATAGTGTGAGGATCCTACTTTAGATATAATTAAAAATACATAGTGGGAACCCATGATAAATTAACTTTTCCTTAATTCCCGCCGAGATTCTCTCCTTTAGTGCGGCTGTAACGGCTCTTGTCTATGAGCTCGATCTTGATCGGACTCAGTATTGGTCGGTTTCCAATTTTAGAGCTCGATGCGGGTTTGAGCTTAAAGCCGACTTGGGGTCCGGTAGTGACTTGGGCTCGGTATTGGTTGGTCTCTCACCTTTAAGCTCGATTCCATTATATCTCATCATAGTTCGATTCGGACCCGAGCTCGATAATGATTTCGAGCTCGGTATTTGACCTGTTCCTGAAACTTGAAGCTCGTTTATGCCTTCTTCGGATCCCATTCTTCGGATCCCATCTCGATATCATGAAGACTTTCTTCGGTCTGTTATGTTCCCATCTCGATTAGACGTACGAATGCCGAAATCAGTTTCGACCGTATACAGATAGTTCCCTCGTTTCTCAAGAAGGATGTGGCGAGAAACGATATGATTTCCCAACGGCTCGATCAGATATAAGCTGACGTTTACATCGGACTCGATCATGACGCACGTGAAGCTGTCCTGTCGGTTTAGTTTTTTAAGGCATTTAATGTGTGTCAGACGATGGTCGGCTGCTGTTGATACTGAACTGACGTTGCTTACTCTGTAAATAGTCCCCTTCTTTACCATTTACTACTTTTGCGTCTCCAATCTCCAAATTTTATAAAATTATTTCTTGCATCTTCTGAGTTTATCTGTAAATCTGTGATTTTTCACTGCAAAATCTCTCTTCAAAAAGACCAAATCTTTGTTACCTCCTTCTATTTTCGATCTTTAAATCCAAAAATGGCGAAAATATCAAAAATCATTCCTCAGAAAGAAAAAGCTTCTTCTTCACAGCCTGCCGCCGATAAAATACCGGTGGAGCCACGGCCTGAGGAGTGCATTCCTGGGGCGTGTGTTCTTACCTCTGATTTTAAGGTCGATAAAGACTCGTCGGTTCCCGGCCGATGTGAGCCAGTATCGAGGTATATGTGTTCGATAACCGATGGGCACCTCGAACAGCTAAAGAAAGATTGCAATTGGGAGAATAAAGAAATAGTAATCCCGTCTTATGAAGAAGATATCACCACTTACGTGAAAGCATTTTTAAGTGTGTATACTTACCCTTTCACGTTAGGTCCCCTCGACCCTGT